ATCCGAGATGAGTGGCACATAGGATGCAAACATGGGGGATTCATATGGATTGAAGCGCATTTTTGCATAAGTTCGCGAAATCTGCATCGGATCAACTTCGTCAGATGTGCCTATCGCAGGGAACTGCATCGAATCAACTTCGTCAGCTTTTGGAAGGAGTCAGCCAGGTCCATGGACTCAACATCGTGGTGGTCGCTGAGGTCCTTGCCATCGTAGGACCAAAAACGTAAAAGATCACCATGCGGAACTGGCAGCCCGCACAAGCGGAGCAGAATCACCAAACTCAAGCCATGACACACCTGCCACCGCAGACTCGGTAGGTCAGTGAGGAAAGCCATGGCACCGGGTAAGAGACACACGCCTGCAGCTTCTATGTCTTCCTTCCTTCACGGAGAGCCCAAGCGCCAACTTGCAAAGCTACGACCATGTCGTCATTATCCCCCCCCACCCCCCCCTCCCCAAATCCTTGGAAACGCACAGAAACGCACGACAGTTATCGACCCGTTAGCATGTATATGTATATGTATATGTATATGTAGATGTAGATGTATATGTATATGTATCTGTATCTGTATCTGTATCTGCATGTGTATGTGCATGTGTATGTGTATGCGTATGCGTATGTGTATGTGTATGTGTATGTGCGTGTATGTGTGTGTGTGTATGTATGTATGTATGTATGTATGTACGTACGTACGTACGTACGTACGTATGTATGTATGTATGTATGTATGTATGTGGTATGAATGTGGCATGCATGCATGGCATGCAGCGAATGCAATTCAGTATTACAATGTAATGTGATGAAATGTAAGGGGATGTGATGCAATGCCACGAAAACGTACTGTTATGCAGTGCCATGTCGTGCTGTCCTGTGTGATACTGTGTTATGTTACGCGTGCATGCATGCAGGGGTGGGTGGGTGAGTGGGTGCATGGATGGATGTGCCGGCCGTACAATCTGACCGAAGGGTAGTTGAGAAGCGTGGAGCATGCCACCTTGAACCTCGATATCGTCGATATCTGTTTCTGAAGGTTGTCGGAAGCTTGTTATTTGCTCGCCAGCAGCCGCTTGCAGGCTATCAGCCAATCTCGGACAAGCTCGCGGCGAATAGTAGGCCTCAGAATCAGTCATCACCTGGAGCTTGAAACGCCATGTCATGCCGGCAAGCTTGGACATGCTGCACTTGGCGGTACAGGCTACTCGGTGACTATCCGTCCACGTCCGGTGTGCTCGCGCGTCTGAGCTTCGACGATCCTGAGACAACCGCTTCTAGATTTGAATCTGTAATTGCTGGCTCGGAACATGATCTGGCAGAGACAGGTCAGTCGAGACAGACGCGGGGAAGTCTGGCGGGAACTGCGCTGCATGAAGCAAGCGCATTAGATCAGTGAACGCAGTTTCTTGATACGACGATTTGTTTGTGTTTGGTGTGATTGCTTGGCGCAGGATCCGATTTCTAATTCGTGCACATCTATTCGTCACTCAGTTGTTTGATCAGGCAGTTTCGCACTGCCATAGACAGATGCATTTAATTCGACATGCCATATCTGCTGTCAGTTTCTGCTGTCAATGTATGAGTATGGTTGTATGCGTGTCGCGGACAAAATGGATTGACGACGGTGCACCGAACTTGAAGCGCTTTGGGTCGCTTGCGTTGGCCCGACATGTGGAGCATCGTTTTTCGCTCTTGCTTGTTGGCTCGCCGAAGTGTGTCGGGATAAGAATTAATTACAACACGGCTGGTCAAGATGAGAGAAGCTTGGTACCAGACACCCTCGCAAGGACGGCTAGCTGGCTAGCCCCGTCATGAAGGAACGAGGAATATGCGGAGACTTAAACTAGCAGTCTAGCAGTATGCAATTAGTCTCGTCCGCTCCAGCTGCGCGAGGCGCGACGGTGAGTCCATTCTTTTACCTTGAGTTTGGATGTCTGCAAAGTGAGACCCGGGTTTTGCTTCGCACTTGACCGCACGGCATCAGGTTTTTGTATTCACAGGTATTAGATTCACGGTTCGCCGTAAGCACGTTGCGACACGTGGCGTTCATGTCAGAAACTGTGCGCAGCAGTCTCGACTCAAGTCCTTCCGCTTACTACTACACTTACCAATCTGCGACGTAACGTAGCCCAGCGCTTCAAGCGCCACTTGGCAGCATCTCGCATCGACTTGCTCACGTTCTGCGCTGTCAGAGATTCGGTTGAGGCTTCTCAAAAGAAAGTCTATCACCCGGGGCCCTTCCGCCCTGGTTGCTCCATATTTTCATTTACTGTGCCTCGGCCAAGAATCCTATAGAAGATGCCTAGAAGACTCCTAGAAGTCTGCAGTCACACTGCCGGCCGAGCGAAGGTGAAGCAAAGCTCCTACGCCATGAGATTCGCTAGGAGTTCCTTTTTCGCCGCGGCCTCTTGGCCCGAGTTGACCGCTTTGCCGAAACAGGAATCGTCGGGTCTTGCTGAGGTCGTTTGCATGCTGCTGCCTGTGCATGCAGCACGTGATGACTGCACCGTGGGGTCTTTGCATGACATCTTGGCCACTGCCCAGGAGGCTCTATCGTCATAAGACCCGATCGCAGTTCTTCCCTGACCCGCCCGTTTGCCAGATGATTCTGCTCATCGCCGCCTTCACAATCGGCTGGCATTTGCGCCTTGGAAGGTTTGGATTGCAAGCGCGAGGTTGACGTACATGAGCAGCTTTTCAGGCTGCTCGGAGCTTAGGATAGGACCTTTCTTGGGCGTGGCTTTCCGCCAAAGCCGAGCAGTCACCCTTTGCAATGCAATTCGCGGCACCCCTCGTCCTGGGGCTCTCGCAGCACCGGGCTTAAATTGCTTACATGCGCGGAAGATTGGGACAAAACCCTCGCCGTTTTGCAGCATTGCAGGAGGACCGGCCACGCGACTCTGGTGCAGGAGCGAGAGTGCAGCCACTCCGCAGAGCCCTTGCATCGCGGCCGCTCGGTCAGGTGACTCTCCCTCCGGCCCAGGCCCACAGCAAGCTCAGGCTCTCAGCTCATGACCGGGGTCGAAGTCAATATTGTAAGTTAGAGGCATTGCATCAGCCTACGGCCCCTTGTCTGACGGGTCTAATTGCAGTTCATGTTTTTGCATTCCGAAATCATTTCTTTGCGCAGAGATCCGCAATGCTTGAGTTTGGGGGCTTCACGCGTGTTCAGGCCACCATGAGCATCGTCACCTGTGGTACTCGAAGCATAGTATGTACATGCCATAAGGTGGGCATCTTGCTACTGTCGCTAGTCTACCACCATCATGGGTTTCTGTGTGTATGCAATCATGTCGACAGCGAACGCATTCAACACCATCGTGCTGTACCGTAGGTGTTGAGGGTGGCAGGTTTTTCTGATTGTGGGTGGCTGTTGAAAGAATGATGACCAAGAGAGCTGATTATCGTGATCTTCATGTCCCAAACTCCAACTATTTTCACTGCTACTAATGCGGCTACTACTACTGCTAGAATTGAAACTACACGAAGCTACATGGTGGTCTGCAAGGTGACATGCTGCAAACCCATTGCAAATGGTAGAAGTCCCTTCAAAAAAGCTGTCCTTGCCGCTGATACAGGCAATATTCGTTGGACAGTGTACAGGAAGCACAAGCTAGCAAGTTGTTGCAATGGTCGGTCTTGTGTAAAACCTGGGCGATGCAGAGACGCAACCTTTCGTATCACGAAAGCTTGGTGACGCCGCATCGAGCCAGACATGTTGTACATTCCAGCATACGATAGAGCTCATGTACATGTCATGGACAACGGCAGTCGCGATCAGACGTAGTTTTCCAGAACTTCGAATTTCCCCGTATGTTTCTGGAGATTTCTCCCGTGTTCTCAATCAAGATCCCTTGTGGAGGCGTTCTCGTTTCCTCCTGGACGCCCGGACGTGGCTGTCGATCTCTGGATCTCTGTGGCTGAGAAGACCGAGGCAGAGGCAAGTTAAGCACGACCAAATAACGCTTAAGCCTGCGGTAGCCTTGTTCTTCTTGCATTCAGGGCTTTGGCTCGCTGCCTGAGCCTGCGTTCTATGCCAAAGCCTTCGAGGCGCCATATTTCCAGCCTGCAACAGCAGTGCAACAGGAATCTTGAGTTTAACGTGTCAAAAGGCGTGCATCGAACTCGGCGACTTCGACTCTGCACATCGCTTGGCTCGCCGAGCAGCTTGGAGCGTGCCTGCAGGCCACGGGGCCAAGGGGGAAATAAGGGCAAGGGCGAGTGGTTGTGCTGGGTCGGAACCGGAAAGGCTTAGCAAGACTTCTCGAAGCCAGGCAGAATACGACGGCCAACAGAATGCAGCAGCATTTGTCCGATAGCGCCGCATGCAGGACCCTCAGGATCATCCAAACTTCTGGCTCTGGCTCGGTGGTAACTTGGCACCAATTCGGATCTGGTGGCCACGGCGGTCTACTTGGGGGGTTCATCTGCTTCGACACTTTCTACAGCTTAGACAAAATCCAAGAAGCGACTTCGGAGCATGTCCGGTGCTGCAAGATCTGCAATCAGCTGCCCTCACAAGGCTGGCAAGAAGGCAGAAGATCGATGAGGCGATGGAGTGCATTAAGCAAGTGCGACGGACCGGCAACGCAGTGGACCTGCGGAGCATGAAGCCGCTTAGACTTGGATTGGCAGGGCAAGACCTTGTCACTTTAAGCACCTTTAAGCCTTATGGCCAGTGCACTTGCCATGGGCCCAAGGCCTCTCATCGTTGTTTGCGCGCAGCGTGGGCAAGTGGACCTGGGCGTCCTGGCTTGCATGAGATGTAGTTGTCGAGATACCACGGTGGCGAAGACAAGGAAACCCCAGCCAGTGCTTGCCACGATTAAGGCGTGTGCAGTATGCTGGGGGTATCTGCGAGCGTGAATACCCCGGGTGCAGCGACACACCAAAACACAAATGCCTTGCTTTTCAACTTGCAACGCATCTAAGAGCCCAAACCCTCGAAACTGACGAGGCCTTCCTTGCACCGCTGTATTGGATTGAAGCCATTTCAGACACTTAACCCCGAAATTTCTCCATGATCTAGGCTGTAGAATCTGGAACCGTGCCAAAACCTTCGTATCGAGTAATCTACCGCCTCCGATGGCGTCCCAAGACTTTATCTTGAATCTGACGCATCCTAAAAATATCCTGCTAATATGGTTGTGCAACAGCCACCGCCAACGGCAGGAGAAAGTTTGCCTTACCAGACAATTACGAGCAGTCGCCGAAAAAGATCCTGCTTCTCCTGCACCAGTTGCCATGTTTTTGGCTTCTCCGGTGAAAACTTTAAAGACGAATTCGTACAAGTGGCGAATCGGGGGCCTGGTGGTGGGAGAGAGAAGCTGTTGGTGATGGCCCCTGGCTTTGTGCGTGCGATTGAACGAATTGAAGCAGCAAATAGATTTCCCAACACAGCTTGAAAACACGCAAGTTTCTGCATTCCAGAATCCATGTCGCTGACGAAGGCCGTGCACTCTTTGAGGAGCTTGCCTGCGACAAGATAAAGCCTGACTTCGCAGCCTGGCCAAATGCCTCCAGTCTCACCGCCGCAAACCTCCGTTGGGTGCCCTGTGCTAGGTGACCTACTCCGCGATGATTCGGGGCCTGTGCAACGTTGGCAAGGCCGCTTCCCAGATGTGTGTGCGTGTGCTAGCTATAGCAAAGCCGAATATACAGCCTTCATCAAATTGGTTCAGGTGGAGGAGGCGCTGGCATACGTGGAAAAGATGCGCCGCGACACTATATACTTGGATGCTATGTTGTTCGATGTGCTGCAACTTGCCGGCAGCTGGACGGGTGACTCTTTAGATGTTGAGGCTATGTTGAGGTGCGCCTCGTTGCAACAGAGGAAGCCACAGCAGAGCTGTGCCATGTGCGATGTGTTTATAGAATTTACCTTTGCATGATCCCTTCAAGGTTGGAAGCCTGCGTCCATCAGAATTACTTTAAGGGAGCGGAGCACCTTCTGGCGCAGATGAAGGTGCCCTCACGAGCCGCCATGCGATAAGCACTGAATGTGGTTTGCAGGAACTGGGCATGCAGCCTTCCAGCGCCACGCTTGCGACCTGCAAGTTGCCAGCAATTGCCACCATTTGCCATCACATCAACAAAGACACGGTGTGTGCATTTAGTTGATGCACGTCTTCTCGGGGTTGCAGAATCGAGGCATCCGGCTGTATTCCTCTCGTGGTGAACTGCAGCGCGCCATGTCCATTTTCGATGATATGTCACGAGAATACCACTTGCAGCCAAATGCTTATGTGCAACCTGGCACGCAATGTATTGAGTGCAGATTGTCCTGGGTGCCTGATGCAGCCTTCCTTTTGTGGTCGCTTGGCACTGTGAGCCTCGCAGGTACGGAGCTCTTGTAGCTGCTTGTGTTCGTTGCGGCCGTTGCCCCAGTCTGTAGCAATCAGGAATCACGAAGATAGCCTCTACGATCTCAAATCGGTCCAAGTTCCACGCTCCAGTCGAGAGGCTTTGAAGTCTATGCAAAGACATGCGAGGAAAGCCCGACTTGGCGATGTCCACCCACGAACGGATGGCTGCGGCAGGGTGCATGCCAAGTGCCCGGACATACGAGCGGCTTCACCTGCAAAATGCCATGGGTCTCCGCAAGTCTGTCTAGCATGATTCTAGTGACCCGTCCTAGGCTTCTGATCCAGTGTTGCATTCAGCTTGGCTGGACCGCCGCTTGGCATCCTGGTGTCGGCATCTTCTAAACTCACGTACTTGACCTTCAGCTTGTTTGCCTAAATAGGTTCGCACCCTGGGTCCTGGGCTCAAAAGGGCCGCTATGCCGGTGAGACACAGCGCAGAAACGCAAGAACTAGGGCGTGGGTAAGTGGACTCCTTAGTTTGGAAGCTGACTTTGCAACCCGTTTAAACAGGGATTGCCGACAGCAAGGGATGCTTCTCCGAAGTGTCAGCCGGCGTGTTTCGGTCTCGAGTTGTTCCTCTTTAGCATCCATTTATGGATGGAGGCGGCGTCCTCACTGTTTGACTTTGTCCTCGACCTCGGGAAACTAAGCTTATTACTGCTCGGCTCCTTCCCAGATCGTTGGTCTTCGCCATAAGCGAACATCATCAAATCCTCTCTAACCGCTAGCTCCACAGCGGCCAGAACGCGGTCACCGAGGGTGCAAGCCCAAACTCCGTTGACAGTTCTGGGAAGCTACAAACCACTGTGTGTTTACATAGAGGCAAGCAGTCAAGGTTCCAGCGTCTTTCAACTGTAGCATGAAGCGCGGCGATCCCATGAAGCAAACGATTCCTGAGATGTATTTGGACGTTTGGTGGCTGCAGGCCAAGGCTGTCGAGCTCTTGGACGCGGCGCTGGGCCTCTGCACGGAGTCCGAGGATGCAGTGCCAAGGTCGGAGGCTCCGGCTTGCGCGCGCTTTATTGAGAGTCGAAACTTGTTCCTGCAAGGACCCCGGCTTTTGTTGACCCGAAGGTGGTGGAGGACGGACGTAGTGATGCAACGTGCTGCCTTCTGATTCTGGGCCTGCACGATAGTCGGTGCGAGGACCTTCTCCTCTTGCTCGCACGCCGCAAGCAGGCTCGACCAGCTCTCCTGTGCTTCTGTACAAATGCATGTGTTCCTTAGGCTTCAAGTCTGGGCGTTCCTCTCTTGAAGCGCCTGGAAGAAGCCGATTTCGCGACTTGGACCAGAGTGGGTTGCCCCTCGCCGGGTTTGCCCGATGTGTCCTGCGAAACTCAGGAGCTCCCGGAGCGGGTCGCTGGCATCGCAGGGGCTGTGGAGCCCACTTGGGAGCCTGAAAGGTCTCCGGCCAGACACATGCGCTGCCAGCGCCGGCGGGCGCCTGGCCCGAAGTCTTTGGGGTGCTTTTGGGACCGCTCCAACACGCTGCAGATCAGGACTTTGACCAATGGCGCAATTTTGCCGGGGCGTGATGAATGTTGGCGAGGGCCCGAGAGAGGTGTTGGTTTGTGTTGACATTGCGCATGATTGCTTGTGTGGGAGTGCCACCGGCCCGTTCGTCAACATCATGCTACATTACAGCTCCGGCGTACCCTGCATCGCCCTGCAGGCCCTGCAGGCTTTGGAGTTTGCCCTTGCCGCCGGGCGAGTACAAATTTCTGAGCAGTGAGCTCGATGCCACTGGTGAAGGTGAAGGCGACTGTTTCTCTGCGCTTTGGAGCGCAGAACCCACGCCTCTCGCCACCCGGACCGTCTTGAGCACAGCTCAGTCGAAGACTGTCTTGCAGTTGGATGCAATTTTTGATGCACGATGAGTACTAGGAGTGGTTATAAGGCAGCAGTGCACGGCACAAGGCCCGAAATCCTCGAAACATTGCAGGTAGCGATCCTGTTGCAGGTTGCGAATCCCAAGTCCGCAGTGGGCCTTCAAATGGGCGTAGAGATGACTCGACGTCCTCGAGGATTTGGGGAACTGGATCGTCAATTTGTGTTGACGAATGTTGTCGCTGAGCCTCTGCTTATGGCTCGCCACGGCTTGTTTTCAACACATGAACGTGCTGCCGACAATTGTTGACCGAATCAGCTTCTGCTGAGAGTTTCCATGCCCCAGGGCAACTGACGGAAGAGATTCGCATCTATGGAGCGGATTCGGCCAGCGTTGAGCCACTCACGTAACGATTGGACGTGCTACATCAGTGCTCCACCTGTGGTCTTTCTCCTCCCCCTTCGAATTCGTTTCCGCTGCCTGTCATGCCTGCTCGGCAGCTTGATAGCTGCGGCAAAATGGAGTTGGAGGACGATCCATTGCACCGGAGTCACACGCAGCGCCTCAGCAGTGTAATTTGTGACAGTGGCGTCCTGGTCCGGGAGGTCTTCGACCATGGCCCGGAAGTCCAAGGCCCTTTGCTTGGGCTGACACTTGCGAGAATGATAGAACGGATGGTAAGCTGGTCAGGTCAGCATTCTTCTTGAGATTCTGCACTTTTTTCCGCGGCATTGGCTCATGCATACAAGAATTGCGAAGCGAAACATTCCCATCACGTGTCCTCAGCAGGCGCAAGGTGTGTCAGTGAAGAGGTGTGGGAAGACAACCACAATGACCTAATTTGCGGGTCCACCGCAAGCATGGAAGGTGGCAGCAGTGAAAAAAGTACTTGCTGCGGTCACACCCCAAACTCGAGGGAGCTTCGCCCTGCAGTGCCGCCAGGTCTTATCGAAAACAAAAAGCAGCGCGAGCAAGGGGAGCAAGAGAAATGCCAACAAAGACTTCACCAAAGTGAAGAACAAGGTGGCCGCGGTCGCTTCCTTCTGGAGCCCTAAAGCCCTGGTCCACTTCCTGCTGAACAGGTCGGGAAGAGCAAGAAGGCAGCAATCAATGAGACAAAGACCGATTTCAAGGTGAAAAAGGTGCGACATGGCACATGGTGCTGGCTTGCGCATGCTTGCACTTGACCTCAATCCCTGTGGTTGGAGCTCACAGGTGCAGCTGCCCTCACAAAGTGCCTTGGACGAGAAGGGCGAGGAGGTTACGCACAGAAGGCAAACTCGCATGGCACGCCCATGTGGACGTTGCATTTGGGCCCTGGATGACTGGATGGCCCTGGGGTTCTTGCCAGGCTGGGTCTTGCAGAGCTGCCCTGGCACTCGGAGCGTCTTTACTTCGTTTCTTTTGCTGCAAAATCATTCGTGCGACAGGGAAACAGTGACGAAGCGTCCTCGCCAAGGCTTGCCCACCTTCAGCATCATAGCCCCAAAGTGCGGCGCGATGCGTGCGCTCCCCATGCTGCAGCTTTCCCTGACCACCATCTGACATTCCGTTTGCACCTGTCCAGGTTGCGAGGTCTCCTGGAACTTTGCAAAGAGCACGACAGTGTGAAGCTCTCAAGCCAGATATTCTCCAACACATTGAAGGTTTGTTGGAGCTCTGAGGAATGTGTACAGGTCCAACTAACCACTAGTCACCAATCGCTTCTTACTGTAGTTGCACAGTTACCCTCCTTTAGAGGCTTTGCCGAGACGGTCACAATCCTGTACATGTGCAGCACACTGCAACCGTGTTTGCAAAGTTGGCTCGCATTACAACGCTGTTCTACCTTTCGTGTGTTCAGTCACTTCGCCGTGGCGAATTACCTGTGAAGACCAGCTATGCTCCACAGGTTCTGCAGGTTCACCTCTCTCGCGTTCTGGATTCTTTGGTGGCCACCTAAGCTCGGCTCTGGTCGACTCCAAGTGCGCGGTGTTCAGATGGTGCCGCAAACGCAGGCCATGGTGGCAACGGATGGAAGCATGGATGTCCGGGCGTCCTTCCGCTCCTTCCAGGCCTGCACAGAAACTGGCTACACAATCAGTGCAGCCTCAGCCTTCGCACAAATCCACACTTCACCACGGCGACGCAGGCCTACATGCTAGAGGCCCTTCCCCAGGCTTGACATCGTGCGTCCAAAATCTGTTATGCCACGCATCTGTTGTAGAGATGCGGGGAAGAGATTTGTCCAGTGCTCCAGGATGCAATTGCGGCCTTTTCTACAAACCTTGCCCTTCAGGCCCACTAGTCAGAAATGTGTTGCTTGGGCTCTCGACTCCAGTGTTTGCAACTGCTAGCTTGGTCCTTCGATGTCTTTCGGCCCTTCTGTGAAGATTCTATTGATGGGGTCGCTCAGGTACGGAGTGCCCTGCCAGACTCCCAGGGACAAACTGTGAGATGGATGACCTCGAAAGCCTTCGTGCCCTGACGATGTTCATGATGACGCGTGCAGCCCGTTTGTGTGCAGTTCAGGTCCCATGTGAGCGCGGAAGTGCGGGAGGATGGCTGGCAGCCGAGCATGCCACCATTAGCAAAATCGGCCCCCCTGCCTTGGCTGGACCAGGTGTTCGAAGTAGACCTGGCAAAGAATTGATGTAGTACTTGCAGAGCCTTGCAGAGCTGCCAACTCTTCGTGGAATTGGCCGCCCGGCCCAGGTCTCAAGCTTCTGGAGCTTTACTTGAGCCGGCTAGGCAGCGAACAGGCCACTGACAGAGTGGCGACTAGTCTCACCCCTGCCCTGATTCCGATCCATGTCAGGTCCTCAGTCACAACGAGGCTTCTCGTCTGGCCTCGGTCTCGAGTCTGAGAAACACACTGCCGCCTTCGCCCACTCTGCCTCACTGCTCGGTGGACATTTCCTGCACGTCCGCCTGTGGCATCATCACAAAAAGATGTTTGTGAAGAGCGGATGTGGCGTCCATGTAATGTCCTGAGGTAGGGACCCTCTGCCAGCTCCACTCTCATGTCGACTTGGTCCTGCACCGCGGTCGCAATGAGTCGTCCGCGGGATCGCAGTTGCCTCCCGCACTAGCGCAGCTGCGTCAGGCCCTGCCTCCTGCAGTTGCAGCCGTGCTCCAAGCGTTCCGCGACCGCGAAGGCTCGCGTGTGGGTCAACAGACAGAGGCTGGCAATCTTCGCTTGCCGGCTTCGTATCCGGGTAGGATGGCGTCCTGGAGCCAGGGCGCGCCACTGCCCAGGCCCAGTCACCCGCGAAGCCGCATATCAAGTTTGGTCCGGCAAGTGACCCACGTGTTGAGTCGCAAGGTATCCATGCAAGACATCCTGGAAGGAAAGCTGAGAGGGCAACAGCCAGGCAGGCCCGCCTGATGTAAAGGGTGTTGACAAAGGGCACAGGGCGGGGCACCAGAGCAAAAGCCATGGCACCGATCCGAGACGTGGTGTCAGGACTGGAAGGTGCGCAAGCCGGGCAGGACTGGGTCATGAAAGACAAGCCGCTGGGCACGCCAGCATCATGCAGCACTGGCACTCGGTTTGGCCAGGCGCAGCTGGATTCACAGATCTGGGACTTTTGTCTGCGAGCATGGATGCAAGCCCGGACCTTAGCGAGAGCCGGGGTCCGCTTGAAACAAGAAGATTCTTCCGTCATTGTGGGAATGTCGGATTTCAGATCACTGAATGGTCGAATATCTGTGCAGCACGAGACCTGCACACGACTGCCAGGGTCCGTCCACTTGTTTTCATCATCCAAGTCAGAGCCGGTTCAAGGGCAATCTTATTGAAGCTCGTCATAGGAGGCTCTAAGTCACGGGTAGCGGGAGCTGGAACGGGGCGCTCGCTCTGCACGACTTTATTGCTCGCAGAGCGTGTATCTCGTACCAGCTCTGATTTCTTTTCTCCGAAGGCCCAACATCGACCCAACAAAGGCATTGCTGTGATCCTTGCCACAGCGAATTCCATGACACGCCGTAATGTGCTGCAGTGATATATGCTACACTTGGCACCCCGAAGCGGCCCGCAACATTCAAAAAGAGAGCGCTTTCGCTCGGATTCCAGGTGCGCATCGTGAAGGGAGTGGTGCTACTACGTGATGCACCAGATATCACCCGATACCACATGACTTCTGAGCATATGTCCCTGCAGTAGCATCGAACTTTGACCAAGTAGCCAGTGATTGCACGTCCAAGGCAGGCGACCTCCCACGTTGGAGCCCCATTCTGCGGTCAGATGCGCCTTTCTGGGCTTGAATTCCGTTGCTTGCCGACGGTTGCCGAAAGTGTTGCCGAAGTTTGCATCTCAGGTGGATCAACAAAAGCAGGACGCGGCCAACTGGAAGTGCTGAGCAGGCCAACTCCTGACATGTTCGGGTTGTGCAAGTCCCGGAGCTCAGTGACAAGGTTCGCGTTTCTTTACTTGGCAAGGGCAAAGGCAGAGGGGCTTGTTTTGCAAAGTCATTTTCCAAATGAGACGAGGCCAGGTTGGATGCGTTTGCGCGTGGCGGCCGTCCTGGAGCGCTCTCTGGAAGGTCTGAGCGGGGTTGCGGTCGGCGTCTTCAAGCTCTTCAGGGTTAAGGTGTGGCTCGATTGTCGGTAATCAAGAAGCAATCTGAGTGGGGCACCAAGTCACTGAAGCCTTCCAAGATAGAGGCTACTGCTTTCATTTGCAATCCCAAGCTGAGCTAGCTTGTCGCCATGCACATGTTTGGCATCTGTTGGTTTGCAGGACTTATCGCAGGTGCAACGCTGGCTGCTCAGAGTGCAGATCTCGATTGCAGGGCCGGGACTCGGAAAGTGCCGAGGTCTTCCATGAGTGCTTCGTCCCAGCCGTCGGCCGCGCAGGTGGGCGTTGCAGTATCTGTCCGCGTGAGTCGGCAAAGTTTCAGAGAGTGCCAGCAAAATCGCTCTTGGAGGTCGCATCGCTTAGCGGCTTGGTCCGTCGTGAAGAGTGGCCAATGCGAGTGGATGCACAGAGCCCGCCACTTTCTTGGTGGTGAAGCAGCTGAGCAAACGAACTGTCAAGAAGGATCCGGTTTGTAACTTGTAACAGAATCGACCAGCACCGGCTGCATAGTGAGCATGCGATAGTCGGACACATTTTTAGCAAAGCCTCGTCGTGACTGCCCACATGATCGTTTGTGCGGTACTTGACTCGGGCTGAGGTTCCGTCAGCTCGCGGACTCCATCAACCTTCGTATGGCCGTCTTCTTAAAGTCGTGATATCCAGCTGCCAATTCTCGCGCGATCGCTGGAGGTTTGTCTGCTTTCATGGCTCAGGCACGCGTGATGGCACTCTTGGCATGTGGTCAATGGCTGAGACGAGCCGGCCATACAAGTCTGCCTCACTGGCACAGGCAGACTGGTGTCCACGTGCAATTCAACGCTCTGTTGCGAAAGGTGCAGCGCCGGCAGACACAGCACCCAAGCATTTGCAGCGGCTCGCGCCGGGCCCCAATCTTCTTGATGTTCCTTCATAGCCCAATCCACAGTGTCCTGCAGCTGACAGCTGTTCCCCTGCCAGCTTTGATAGGTGGTTGCTGTGTTTGTCTTTCTTGAGGCAGGCTGCACTGGCAGTGCGCGGGAGCCCAGCTGCTGGAAGAGCGCTCTTTCCTGGCAAACTCGGCACTGCCATGGGCTCTCGCCGTTTTGTTGCGGGTTGTCGACCCAGTGCCAGGGTGGAAGACCTGGCCCTGACAGCTGCGAGGCCCGCAGACCACAGAGTCCCCCTTGCATAGAGTTGCTCGGGGGGCCTTGTTTCTTCTGTACGTTTCTGTGCAAAAAGCAGTGGCAGCCACGCTTCGCACACACAAGACTCTCACCAGAGGCTCTGAAGGCCTCTAAACTATCTAAAGTCATGACACGGTCATGACAGAGGGTACGTAGCATGCGTTGCAGTGAGCATTGGGTTGTCGGAAGGTCTTTCGCTCAAAGTGCTCGTGGTGCAGAATCCGGTGGCGCGAACCTGGGTGAAGCAGCATCAGAGCGCTTGGCACCGGGACTCTGTTGTTACCTAGGTGTTGACGCTGCGGCAGCAGCTGTGACGGCCATCGCTTCCTGGCTGCGGTGGTAGTAGCATCACAGACTGACAGCCTGACAGCCACTTTCGGGACGGATCGTTCTCAGGGCTTGGCTGCTGGCGAGGAGGTGCGGGATGGTTGGGCATCCAGAACACAACTGAACAGCTGCCTGCCGTTGTGCATGTCCTGCACCCGCCTTGAGCTCCGCACACATCTCCGTTGCGACCCGCAGCCGTGACCTGTCTGCAATGCTACGGCCAATGTTCCTAGCGGCCCTCAGCGGCCAGTGAGTCAGTGAGCTTTCAGCTCTCACATGCCGTTTCCCTTCGATGCCACGTGGCTTTATGACCACAGCCTCGCTGCGAACTCGGGCCCAATAGACTTGTCAAAGAGCGGGGCGACCGTGGCGTCCGCTGCACCGAGGCTCATTTCCATAGCTGGAGTTCCTCAGGCTCTCACCGTTTCAGCCCTCAACTTCCGACTTCAACGCAGAATCACGGATATCAGGACCCCAGGACCACGACCACGACCATGTGGACATGTGCCACCCCAAGCTGCCTGTGTCTCGCGGATGGATCGGCTCGCGGAAAGAGCTCCGAGGTCGCTGGGCCTGGGCCTGCCACATGGAAGCGTCTCTGCGAAGGCTACTTCGAGAGGGTTGCAGAGTTTCTTGCAAACTTGAACCTCTCCTTGCGTTTGGACGCAGGCGGCTGCGTTTCTGCAGGGTCCACACGACCAGTCGTGGCACGCTCTAGGCCGCAGTCTGTGTAATATGTCGCAAAGACATGATGCGCCTTCTGGCCCACCACATAACATGTCGGATATGCCCGTGACACCGATGCATGAGTGCGATTTTGCACTGCCACCGTGCATAGCCGTAGCCATATTCGTCTCAAGACGCATCCTGGGTTGCTCCCGATAGAGGCAGAAAGCGATATGTTGATGCCTGCAATGGTGAAGCTTATAGAGATGCATCCAACGCCAAGCACCCGAAACTGAATTTCGCAAGTGCTTGCGGCGCATGTTGGCTCGGGCACTGCAAGATTGATCAAAGCGAATGTTGCACAAGACTTCTCTGCTGCGCAGGGCTTACAGCCGGGTGAGCATGCTGCTGGCGCAGGCAACATGCAAGCCAAAATGAGGTGTCAGTCAATGGGCAATTGGCAAATGGCCACGGGGCAAGATGTGCGAACATGTTGCGCAACCAGTTGTCTCCAGGTCACGGTGGCTTCGGTAAATATAGATACTACTGTAGAGGAAAGTATTCTTACCGTGCCTCGAGCACGCCACAGCCTGCTTCACCAAGCCATCAGTTGCATCGACACAGAGCAGATGTCGATCTGATCTGATTGCTCTGCAAGTGCGCGATGGTCTGGCTTGAAAGATCGGGTGTACGACCGGATCGCCAAAGTGAAAGCAGCCTGCGATATCGAGGTGTGCGATGGCAGTTCGTCAGGACCTGTGAGCTATCATCATGCCTGAGGCTACGACTCTTGGGGGGCTTTCGGACCTGCGAGCAGGTACAAAACGTGATGGCTTTGCCAATTGCCTTGCAATCATGTGACAGGGCTAACAGGTCATGCTGCAATCCTGAGTCGTAGTGCAGCTGTATCAGCTACTGTACCGTGATGACCTGTGAGATTACACATGTATTGAGCAAGACCGAGCATGCCCGATGACAGGATCTCAGTCTGACACGCAGTCGGATGCAAATCAAGGTTTCAGCGCGAGGGCCTGACGAAGTGTTCAGCAAGATGCACTCACCCTCTTTCCGTTGATGGTTTTTTGCTTCAGCTGAGCCGAGGATCTTCAGAGAGTGCACTGGTCTCACCGAGGCAGTGGCATGGCCTGGGGAGATCAGCAGCGCCCGGCATGGCACGTCGCGAGATCCTCGTTGTGAAGTTGTGAAGACGTTCTCGTTTGCCCGGCTCAGCTCGGCAAGTGAAGTTACGCCTTCCTAGGTTCCTTTTTGACAAGGAGACGATGTCCAATGTGATAGGTGCCATGAAGTCAACGCCACCTGTCGCGCCGCGTGATTGCATCGAGACCTTGGCCACCTTGCCAGTGCTGGGTCTTGTTGGATCGCCGGAGTGAGGCTAATACCCTTGCATGCCACTTCCATTGTCTTCTCGTTGCCCGGGCACATTGCCTTCGAGCTAGGCCCCGGGCTCAGCTTTGACGCAGAGAGCCCGCAGCTGCGGCCGCCATTCTAAGGTGAAGGTTACCTCTTTGGCTTCCAGAAGGTGCTGAGATTGTTTTGCGTGCTCCTTACACGTCGTGGCCGCTACCCGGCGTGCGGCGGCTCAGGGCCTCGAGCTGGCCTTCGTTGGGAAAGCCGTGGGAGCACTGGCAGCCTTTGGTGTTGGTCGGTCAGTGGGCTGCCAGACACCCATCCACGCACAAGCTTTCTACTACGTTTTGGCGCCATCGCCGTACAAGAGTCAAGAAGTTATGCTCCAGGCTGTCAAGAGGTGCGCGAGCATTGAGCTTGGCTTTTCTTCCGAGGGTTGTGTGCCCCATCTTCTTTGCGCATGCATGGTGGAATTATACTGAACCCAATGGCATGTTCGCAAGATAAAGAGTGATTCTGGTTTGCGAAGTGATCCGTGAGTTGAACCATGTGCTTCGTTCGGCGGTACATGCAGAAACTCGAGGTCACTCAGACAGCGAATGGAGTCTTGGCCCGTGGCGACGAAGGCAGCCAAGAGCCTCTAACTCAGACAACTCTTTGCGCAGCTTTGCATGGAGCTGTTCAATCTGCACAGACCGAGCTGGCTATGATGGGGCAAAGCAGAGAAAGTGCGCTGTGAGTCGTCTGAGCTCCAAGGTGTAGAGCAGGGAGGGCATGCATCCGTCTTCCTTGTCAGGAGAAGGGTCCGGCATTTTGCAGAAAGAAATACATGTGAATCAATCTGAGTGCCAGGATAGCACCGCTCCCTTGCGTAGTCAAGAACTACGCCTTGTCCCTGCTCACGGACATTCCGTGGGGCATCTTTGTGCCAGGCATCTTTGTCATCGGGTGCTCATGCCAGCCATGCTCGCATGAGAAGCATTACATCTAGGATCAAGCGGTTGTCCATGGTTGTCCGGGTTGTCCAGCTCGTCGTGTGTGCCAGGGACCCTGCTTGGACTTCTGCCGACCACAGCTGCCCATGTTTACGCAGGCTTGGCGTGTCCGTACTCCGTGCTACTGGCAGGCACAGCATATGTTCTGTTCATGGGACTGAAGCAGGTACTCTTGCACCCACGTCGGCAGAGCTCATGCAGCTAGGGGAGCATTCAGCAGATTTCAGCAGGTTACGGTCTCGACACGGCATGTTTGCACTGGCAGCTCAGGAGCGGACAAGGAGCCGCGATGAAGGCCCGCGCCCGTTCCAGATTCTGTCCTGGTACATTGAGTTTCTCGTTCCATGTGCTCCAGCAGACGCTTGACGGTCAAACTACGTGAAGGAACACATAGTGGGCCTCGTGCCGTCACAGCCAAGACCAACTCTGTTGAAGCCGAAGCTGATCGGAAGCACATCGGATCTGTCCGACGTTTTCTTCTTCTTCTTATTTTTCTTAATCTTCTTCTTCCTTTTTGGTTATTCTTCGAGGGATTCCGGTGCGAGCGGCGCGTCCCAAGAAGCTATTCATAAATTCGTGTCAAACGGCAAAGTAGGAAACACTTCAATGAGCCATCTCCTGCCATATGTGTCCGAAGGTTCTGGCACAAGGGGAAGCCGGCGCTACACTGTCACTACACCACGCGAAAGTGTGGTCTGCTCCATCTGGGTGAAGTTTGCCCAGGTCATCACGGAAGGACTCCGGCACAACTCTGGAAGCAACTCTGATCAAGACCGAGACTGCAGCTTGATGAGGGCGACGACGTAGTCACAGCGTCGTTAATTCGGGCGCCCATTTGCAAATGCCCTCATGTCATGAACATGAAACTGCCATCGGCGAACTGTCGTGTACATATCACGGTCAGTGGGCAGAACCTTCTGTAGATGCACTCATGGATTCATGGACGGCTTGATGATTCTGATGGTGATTCTGTTAACGAAGATGAGATGAGGAATTTGGTGCCGAAAAAGGCCGAGTATGCCAGACACAAGGAATGACATACAAAACGGTATGAAATGATACGTCACAGGGGTATCGTTTGGGCCCGCCCGCGTCAGACTCACAATGACACGGCACGAACAATGAGATGAATACATCTGAAGATTGAAAGATGACCGAAGATGCGACACGGCGCAACGGCTCAGTTACAAAACATCACGCGACTTCTTGCTCGACTGCCTTGCGATATCCGGACACTACCCGCAAGAAGCCACAGCAGCCCTATTTGGCAGCCACCACGGAGCCAGTAGAGCTGTGGCACAAGCGGGAATTTAGATGGATGGACACGTGGCACGGACTCCAGCATCTCTGCAATTCTGGCAAGCAGGAGCCACTTGGACCCCATTGAGAACTAACCTGAATATCTACTCGATGCAGTCAGGAGACACGGGCTGTTGTGTCTGGAATCGTTCATGGGCTTGCGCCATGCAGTGTGCGGGGCTTTCCCGCGGCCAAACACTTTTTGCCAACCTTCCGACGGGCCTTTATCATCATGGATCCGAATTGCCGTGCACACAAAAAATGGTGGGAGTTCTCGCTTGATCTGTCCCACCGTATGGTCAATCGAGACTGGAAGCGGCAGCACGCAAGCCGAAACCCTCAAGTGTGTGGTTACGACAGGCCATGTGAGTCGGGTTGAGGAACTGGAAGGATAGCCTCATCAGCGCCGTCGAGCGGGCAGTCGGAAGATGTGCATTTGGAGTTGTTGGGCAACAGCTACCCACCGGCCGTTCAGCTTGACCATGCAGAAGCACATTGCGTGAGGGGGCGAGTGGTGGCAGGCCCTGGCACAAGTGAAAACTCTCTCTCAGGCGAGTACCAGCCTCTGCCGATGCCAGTCTGGTGATGTCTTCGTCGTGTCCCGTAAGCTCATGCAAGAGCCGCGGACGTTGAGACTCCCAGATTCGAACAACAGGCTGAGATTCAGGAAACTGGCACACCCGATTCAGACAACAAACCCGAAAGCTCAGGCGCAAATCGGCTCACGGGAAAGAACGAATCGGATACAGCAGAGATACTCGTGCTTTTTTTGCTCGCAGGGCTTCTGCTTTGGCACATCCCTCGTTTGCGGTCTGGGGTTTACCAATGAGCACGTGCCGGGGATTTGTTTGTCTCGGCTTTGAGAATTGGCCAACATAATCCTTTCGGTTCGGTAACCTCTCTCTCATCCCTCTAGGATTTGGTTTTGCCAAGCAACAACAGCTTGGGATTTATCAACCGTCATCTTTTGTCAGGGTTTTGCAGTTTGCCAGCCAACATCTCCGTTTGTGGTTGCCGATTGGCCAACCAGTATCTTATTTTGGTGTTTCTGTTTTTTCATCCTCAGTGGGAAGGAATCGCAACATTGACATGTGGATAAACTACATAGGTTTCGGGTTTTGGCCGTTGTTAGGGGTGTCGTTTAGGGCTGCCTCGGTAATGGGTGGAGCGCTGAGGGTTTATACGTTCGCGGTGTGGGCCCGAGCCCACAGCCCCTGTCACCCCAAACTCTCGAGCCCCGAAGACCTACAGCCTCATTTTGAGCTTGGGTTGTTGCGGGTGTGCGGCTGAAATGTGTGGCCTCATTGCGCGAAGGTCGGCAGCTGTTTCCTGAATTTTCTTATGGAATTTCTGGATTTCTCGAAATGTTGCGTCCGAATGTCGCCGTTTCCCTGAGCCTTGCCCGACGGTAATCCAGCAAACAATGCGTGTTACGCGCAAATGGCAAGTGCCAGAGAGAGATACGTCTCATAGTCACTGCAACTGCGGCTATCCTGCAAGAAATCAGTCGTGATTGTGATATATTGGTACGCACAGTTTCTAGCACCTGAACCTTGAAGAAAGCTCGTGGAAGAATGAATGCGAGGGCTCGAGACTATCCTTGGGCTCAGAGAGTTTCGGGGTAAAGCTCAAGGGCCCTGTGCTGAAGGGTCAGGACTCCTGCGGAAGAATGCCGATAGCATTCCTGGCAGGTCGTGGCAGCGGCAAGCACCATGGGTGGCGTTGCTTTCCTGGGTTTGTTGGCAGCGTGCGCGGGTCTAATCAAGTCGAACTTAAGCAGTGGCTTCATCGCTTCATGTGTGGGTCGGTGTCCATGTCGCAGGTACTGCTTGCAACGGCGATTAACGGAAAAGCACGAGGACGAGGAGGGCTTTCAGAAGCTGCTGGGCCTGTCCAGCTGCGACACGTCTGAGTGGTTCCGGCTGTTCTCGACATGCCTGAGAGGAAGAGGTTGAAAAGGAGCTGCCCCAGGTAGTTGCGAGGCTGCCCCTGAGCATCGCTTTGCCTTTTCCGTAACCTGCACCAGAAATCGGACATATCTGACCAGCTCGCACAGGCCTGGGCAGCAGAAGGACGTGGAGACAGTGAAGCTCTTCCGGCCTCAGAAGCCCATCGATGCAATGGCTGTCCGGGCTTAGAGCTCAAACGACAGACTTGAAGCACTCAAGGAGCATTTAGACTTAGACACAACTGAAGTGTGAAGACCTTGTCATGGTCCCAGGACATGCTTGCAAAGCGTCTGCGTAGCACAGAGCATGCGAGCGTTCCATTACTCATAACATCCGGCCTCACTCCAGTTGATCCAGTGTCTACACGGTATTTAATGCAGCTCGCACGCTCTGCTTTGCCAAGGTTGCACTGTATAGTCCAAGCCGCTTGATAGACTTGGGCTGCAGCCAAAGTCTGCCTGCTCAATCTCGCCTGTGCGCAGGGAGAAAATCAAACCAACATAAAGCCAGTTGCTCATGGCTGCTCACACAGCTTCTTTTACAATCGTCTCCAGCAACAGCAGGTCAAGCCTTTCTCCGTGACGGGCACCCTGAGCCACAGCCTTCAAGTGCTTCTTGGCAACAAGGGACCTATGCGGGGCCCTTTGCCTTGAAACTAGCAAGATTGCCGCCAGGCTTGACCATTTGTGGTCCTGCGTGGGTTCCGGCAGCGTGCCTGGACAGGAGCTGTTTCGGTTTTGTGCCTGTCGGCGGACGTTTGTAGGGCTGCTTGAGCGAATCCACGGTGCGGCGAGTGGATGCTGAAAGATTCCGGCTGCGAGCTGCTGGTCCACGGTACGGCAGGCGGGCGGAGCTACCTGCAAGCTCCTGCGAAGGACCCGTCCACGAGCTTGTTGGCCGCCGAAGACCGGCGGCGGCTTGTGGAGGCTAAAAGCTGGGACTGGCATGAGGGTTGCTTCGGAGCTTCGGTTCAGAGGGCCTCGAGGTGGCACATGTGGGCCGAGGCTCCCTCCCTCCGCTGCGCGATTGACTCGAACCACCAGCGGCATGCAATTGAAGGCTAACTCATCATCTTGAGCCACTGGGTGCCGAATGACGTCTGTGATCATGACAACCAAGATCTTCTAGACATGCTTGCCGCAATCATAATCGCACTCCCAGCCTTCTTCATCGCCACGGGCCACAGAACTTCGCCAGCCTGCATGCAAAGAGGGTCTCCACCTACCTTCAACCGGATCCTGCGGTCTCCGCCCACACCGTATTTCTCGTTAGCACGAACTCCAGATCAGTGCACAGAGGCTCCTGCCATAAAGTTTCCGTGCCAAAACCCCAAGCCCAAGCCTTGCGCAATTGAATGTTAGATAGCACACGCAGCAAGTTTTCGATTTAGCACTTTGTGCGAGGGCGTGCCGTGGTATGAGCGCTTGTTTGTGGCGACAGGTGACCTCTTGCATGGCTGCTGGCACAGGTGGGAACTTCAGTGTTGTCTCAGACATTATCATGTCATCAAGCGTGCAGTGTGTACCCTGCCCGGTCGATCAGCAGCCGGTAACACCCATGAATCCGAGCTATCCTGACATGCGCAGAGAGACCTATTCAACGTCACCTCATAAGGTGTTGCAGTCGTGCAGGTGAGCAGCTAGACAAGACCTCTGAATGAGCAACGAGCCAAGCAAATGACCCAGTGTCGCCGACAAATCGCATAGGCTGCTACGTAATCGTCGTGTTGAGGGGGCACGCAGGCCAGGACAGGAAAAGCACAAGAAGCACTGCAGAGGCATTCATGCTGCCAGAACTCACGAGCAGTGGCCGAAACTGCAAAACTATCCAATCTCGCCGGATGTCATGGCATTCCGCCCAAAGGAGGGTGAGACATTGGCGTCTTGGAAGGAAAAGCTTTCAGGTGCTGGCAGCCAGCTGGCATGTTGATCTTCTTCTTCAAGATAACCCCTCTCTCAAGCCTAGGGGCCTAGAGCTGGGAAGTGGGCCACAGGTAAGTTATAGTCGTACAGGCAGCCGACGCAGATGAGCCCTAAGCCAACTGCCAAAGACTATCCTTCTGCGGGGGCAACCCCTCCTGCTGCTGCTGCTCCTGCCACTACGACGGCGACCTCAGCCTATAAAGTCCATCGCCAGAAATCCTGAGCCTGAACCAACCACAAACCTCTGGCTACCAACCCTGGAGAGCCCCAACCCTCACCAACCTCAAACCTTGTTTCAACACTCAATAAAACAACCCAAACCTTAAACCTGCATTCCCAAACAGTATGCGGGAGGCAAAACCTTCCCAAACAGCCCGTCCCCCGCCATATTTGTGCGACTTACCCGAACCCATCAGAGACCCAAAGCCCTAAACTCGAACCATGAAGCCTAACAAATCCAAAACCCTGGCCAAGATTCTGAGCCCGAGGCAACACAGAAACCCCAAACCTTGGCAAACGTAAAACGTAGACCCTCAAAAGAGATACCGGACAGAGCTTCAAAACCTTCAACTGAAAGGAGAACCTGATCAACCCCAGACCCTACCTTAAACCCTGTAGAGACGACACCAACCCCCAGTGCAGATGCACGCTGGACCTCCCTACCCTCCAGCTGTTGTCAGTCATCACAGACCAGGAAGTGACATCAGCTTACTCGGAACACACGACAGATGAGGGCTACTTGGCATCTCGGCAGCAGTTCTCCCGAGGCGGGAAAGCTTATCCATATGTTGTTACACGCGAGAGAAGGCTCGCAATGGAGGCAACTCTTGTCCGGAAGCTTATTCTGCGAAGCGTCTGGAAGGGCACACGATGACAATGATCATCTTGAAGGTGTCATCAAAGACACAGTTGCTGCATACTGTCGCCACTGCGTCTTCTTTGTAGAGTTTGCAGCTCTCGCATTCCTAGAATGAGAGCATCAGGTCCTGAAGCCAGGGCAAGCAGTGCAAGTGAACTATGTGGGAACGGAGGGCGATGAGGTGGATTTTGGGTACGGGATCGAGCCCCGGCCTCGGACGCGTTTGCACTGAGGACTTCCGATTGATCAGAAGTCCCAGGACTTCCGTTTGAGTCTCTTTGCTGTTCCGTGTGGCTCTGTGCAGGCAAGGGAGTGGCTTGGAGGGCTGGTTCCGTCTAACGGCCCTCATGCCAAAGCCCAGCCCCAGCCAGGCGCGGACGCGCGAGCCAAGGGTTGGAGGGATTCTGGAAACATGTGCTATCTTAAAGATAGCCGAACTGTCAAACGAGATGGGTCCTTATGCAAGAACGGCAGGCAAGTTGTTCCTTGTTCATAGCAGCACAGAGTCAGCTTCCGGAGTCCCATCCCCGTCCCCATCCCACCATTCCCGCAGCAGTCTTGCAGAGGCCTCTCGCGAAGACCCGCCCCGCAAAGAGCCGCCGCCACGCAAAGAGGCCGCATCCTGTTGGGGCTGTCGGTGGCGATGAAGCACCTGCAAAGTGTCATTCTGTGAGGGTTTTAGATGTTCAACCTTGTTAACAGGCGTGGTACTTGCAGACCGCAGCTCCTCCACCTCCGCCGGCACCGCCTCCACCTGGCTCCTTGTGGCCACAAGACGTAAGAGCCACCTGTACAGCACAAATGGTTTTCAGTTCACGGGCATTGGCATGCCCCCTCGGAAGCGAACCTGCAAGCCTCACCCGGACCGAGCTGTGAGTGTCGAAACCAGAGGCTACGCCGATGGCACCGCCGCCGCCACGCATCTTTGGCAAAGATTGAGCAGCAGGGCGTTGCAGGGTGCAGCGTGTTCGGTGGCATGTCTCGAGGCAAAGCCGAGTTGCTTTTTCCTGGCAACCCGGAGATCAAGGCGCCATCGGCAGACGAGGTGCCTTGCTCTGCATCGAGAGTCTCTTTTTCTGGACCTGGCTGACCCTTGTGCGTTCGGCGCTTGGAAGTTGGATTGAGGTGCGTGCAGTGGAGCAGGGTCTTCAACGAGGTTCACACCTGTCCATGCACGGGAAGTGCCAGGACATGCAGCAGCTTGTCGAAAAAAATCGGGTCGTGGTCGTTGATGCAGCGACCGGGTCCGGAAAGTCCACGATGATACCGCTTTGCTTGGTGCAACAATGTCAGAGCCGGGGCTTGGGCTGCCGCATCGTTGTCACTCAGCCACGCAAACTTGCGGCCAAGGGCCTGGCACGGCATGTCTCACAACTCGCCGGGACAAAGGTCGGCGATCTGGTCGGATACCGGGTCGGCGGAGACAGACGTGACTGGGGCGCCCGTGTTCTCTATGTTACAGTGGGCCACTTGTTGGAAGCGGTCGTGCACAATCCGAAGTATTTGGATAGCTTTACCCACATCGTGCTCGACGAAGTCCACGAACGATTCGTAGAGGCCGATTTCCTCATGGCGTTCTTGCGGATGGCCCTGTCCCGCCCGGAAACCCAAAGACAGCGGCTTGTGGTCATGTCGGCCAAGTTTCAGAAAAGGCAGGTTGCGGATTTCTTTAGGCCGGTGCGATTGCCAAACCCGGAACAAGCCATGTCTGCCGACTCGGCTACCATTCGCCTTGAGGGAGGGAGCCCCTTCCCTATCGAAGATTATGTCTTGAACGATATCTACAATAGGTATCGTGGTGTTATCGGGCACGGCTACAAGGAGCCGGATTTCTCGGTGGTGATGCCTTCCAGAAGACGTGATATGCCTGAGCGGCGGTGGTCGGACAAACTGACGCAAGTTTGCAAGAGTCTCACCAAACTGGCTGCCCGACTGATCTGCTACCTTTACCGCGAGCACGAGGACCAGCTCAACAACCCCCAAGCTGTCCCTGTACAGGGCCAATACGCCAGCAGCTGCGTGGTTCTAGTATTCCTACCAGGCATGGACCAGATGTCCGAGCTGGCGCGGCATCTTGAGAACGAATACTGGAATTTGAGGGATTCTCTGCGATTGCCCGACAAGGCTCCCAGTATTCTCCTGATGCACTCGGCCTTGGAAGAGTCTCGATACCGGAAGGCCTTGGACCCTCCCGAGGAGAACGAATGGAAGGCTGTCATTGCATGTGATGTGAAAACGCCGGTAGGGTGGAGCTTCAGGGGAAACCATGGTACAGTGGTCTTGCGACACAAATGCGGCAGTATAGCGGCTGTTTGCGCAGTTTCCTTGTTGATTTGTTCAGCACCTGTCCAGGTCGTCTTGGCCACGAACATTGCAGAGTCGTCGTTGACAGTTCCTGGGGTGAAGACTGTGATTGACTTTGCGATGCACCGCCAGAACATTTACGATGATGAGGCAGGCTGGAAAGCATGAATGAGCTTCCTCTCTACACTTTGCAACTACGTAGCTAGGTGCAGGAGCCGTATGGTCGCATTCCGACTCATGGGCGCACGTGCCGCGATGCAATAGCTCAGGTGCGGATGTCCTACTTGGTGACAACGTGGTGCTCTCAGGCATCTCTGGTCCAACGCAAAGGTCGCACCGGGCGAACGAACCCCGGGAAATATATCTGCTTCGTCACATCAAACCTTTACCAAGAGCTGCAGGATTTCGACAAGAGTGGCGTCCAAAGGTCCTCACTCACAAAAGTCGCACTGCAGGCCGCACACTTGGCAGACCAGCTCTCCGTCGAGAAAGTTCGGGCAGGGCTGCCGGTATGCAGGAAGGGTGCTGAGAGAACGTCGAGGCAAGATATCGTCACCTACTTCGATGGAGGCCAGGGCCTTTGGAGGGTCTCTGGCACAGATGGATTCTATGCCACACGTGAAGAAGATCTGGAGCTGTTGCCTCTGAAAATCTCCAACGTCCTTTGGCTCTTGCCTGATCCACCTGGTGACACCCGCATTGAGTACGCGAAACAAGAGCTGCAGGACATGGGGCTTCTGACCTTGGCCGGCGATCGTCCGACCACTTTGGGTGTGGCTTGCTTGAAGCTTCCCATAGACGTGCCCTTGGCACGCTTGGCGGTCTTGGCCTGGGTCTGTGATTTGGGTGTGCACGGTGCCATCCTGGCCTCGGCCTTGTCGTTGTCTCAGTGTGACTTGATGTCGAGCCCCTACAATCACCTCACGGAGCTGTACGAAAAGGATTTGCAGATATTAAAGCAAGGGGTGGATGCACGCCGGGAGCTGGACGAAGGTCGCCTCTCCGAGCCCTTGATTCTGCATTCGCTGTGTCGCGATTGGCTGCTGGAAGACGACTGTGAACTGGGCAGAGCGCCATCAAAGGCCTTTCAGCAGCGCAAAAACATAAGCATCCATGATCGTCTCTGGTCCCAGTTCAGCACCAAGCTTGTAGAGCTGCTCCAGTCCATGTCGAGACTCTGCTGCAGCGGTGTAGAGGCTGCTATGCTGCTATGTTGTGACAGGGTGGTTGCTTCTCAAGGAGCGTGTGGTGTGGTGTTTGGTGCCTTCGCCTCTGCCAGGAGATTCCTTCCAAGAAGCGACTCTCAACGCGATAGAATTCAGACCATCCACGATGAGGCTTCTGGGAGCTCTGGCGGTCACGGCAAAGACGCTGTTGGGAGGGCCACTCCACATGGTGTTCAGGAACGTTGAGATGTATTTCTACTACTCTAACTTCTCTGATATCGCAGCATCGCTCTTCTGACCTGAGTGTTTAACAATTTAATTCTTTAGGATGGCTTGGCATGAGGCTTTGCAGATGGACTCTGCTCTTCTGGATGACCGGCTGCTGGCACTGCTCACATTCGCAATGGCACCAACTGGGTTTCTGGCAGTTGGGCAAAGCCCGGGCATTTATGATTTGGGGGATTCTTACAAGCATTTCAGGCGACGTGGAGGCATAAGAAAACTACGTTGGTGCTGTTTTTGTTCTTGACAAGCTTGGCTTAACCTTTGCTGAGAAGACGTGTTTGTTACCTCAGCCTGACGTCATGCAAAGGAAGACCGTCAAGGAGAAAAATGCAAACGAGGCTGCAGCTTTATGGTGGCCGGCAGTGCCGGACAAGGGTGGTGCCACTCGAGGAATGGCGAGCCGCAACGTTGACGCCATCGCCGGAGCCGCGAAATGTATGAAGCCCCTATGGACCGAAGAGTATGCGCCGGGCAGCAAAGTAGAGGCAACAACCGTCTGCTTCTGGTCCGACCCAACCTCATCGCGGAGCGCAGAGATGCCGGCGGATGCCCAGCTGCTCTATCGAATTTGTGGTCCCTACCGTGGGAAGCAGACCACCATCAAAACGAGTACCTCCGAGGTCGTCGTTGTGCCGCCGGAGCACCCCGGCAGCTACAACTGGTACATGCCATTACGGAATGGCGATGGTTTGCGAGAAGTTGGGGTGAACTGGAAAGCGCCTGCCTTCTCGCTCATTCATCCAGAGCAGCCGGGCACGAGAAAGAAGTTAGGAAAGTGTCGGCCAAAGCGTTTTTTGGTGGCTTCTGGGGCTGAGTACCACACCGAGAAAGGCAAGAGGGAGTTTCTGATGCGCGGGACCTCTGTGCTGCCTGATACGAAAGGAGGACGGAAGGCCTTGATGTGGCTTCTGGCCAGCGGCATGCCGCTGGAAGCTGAGATGGTGGCCCTGGCAGCGCCGACAGTTCAGCAGAACGAATTTGAGGTCCGCGGGCTGTGGATGTGGAAGAGGGCATTTCGTTTCCCCGACGACGCGCTCATGTCCGCGAGCGATTTGCGCAACGTGAACGAGTTTCGCAAGGCCCTTTTCGAGCTGCAGCGAAGTAAGCCACACCGCCTAGCGGGAGAGTGGACCGAGAGGAAGCAACAAAAGGATGGCAATGCGCGAAAATACTTCATCGAGTCTTGGCTCAAGCAAAGCCACGGGATACGGCTCTTGTTATCTGCGTCTATATAGCCTGCTCAGCGCATCAAGGAATGCCTGGACCCCAACTCCGAGCCCAGTTCATTGGACACCTCCAGGGAGATCTCGGACAACGAGGAAGTGTTGTACATCCGTAGCGAGAAGGGCAAAGGACCGGAAAGCATCGCTGAGCGTATGGGGCTACTGCACGGGACATGACTTCTCTAGGTCAGGAGGCTGAGCGTTCCCATGACACCCGTTCTTGACTGGGCAGGTGTCACCCTTCGTGGTGCTGCAGGTGGTTCTCGCTGGATGGCGACGGACAGTGTTTATGTGGACGAGTCACAGCCTCTCTGCAAGGGAACAGTAAAGCACATCGATCAGCCATATGGTTCATTCAGCAAGGAAGCAGATTGGCAAGGGCATTGCATTCTTTCAGCAAGTAAGAAGCAGCTACATCAAGCTGCTTTAAGTTTAGTCCCCACGAGTGTGGTGATGACACGGTCATTGACGGGCCAAGGGACGGACGATTGAAATGGCAGAGCGGAGTCGTTTGGGAGCGAGGAACCACCGATGACGTGGAAACACCGCTGCTGGAGGTGTGGCTAGTGCAGTCGCAAGACATGTGAATAAATCACTTTATCGGAGGTGTGCTCCAAGCAGCGCGTGAGTGCCGTATCCGAAGCTGCCTGGAATCTGGTGAAGGCTCCTGGATGCTTGCAGTGCAGCCTTGAAACATGCAAACAATGCGTAGCATTTGAGCCTGCCGCACGTGCCGAGGCTTCGAACAAGAGAGGTCGCCCACGGTCTCCGTTTCCACAGAGGCTGGTGCCACTGATGTCAACTTGTGCTGCTGGGCACCGCCATCCTTTGCCCTTCGGCCAACAGCTCAATCTTCATGAGTCTGCCTCATCTTTTTAAAAGAGGGTGCGTCGGAATACGGACCCGCGTTTTTCGAGCAAAACACGCAATGTTTTAAGCATGCTTTCAAGCACTCGTAGGGATAAGTTAGTATTGCTACTTGCAAACACGGGGTTGGTATGGGGTGACTGTATGGGGTGACAGCTTCCCATGACAGGTTCAAATGCTCCTATATATACATAGATTGATGGTCTTCCGGATACATCGATTCCTCTGACATTCTGTAATAATGAAGTGCCTCGTCTAACGAGATTTTGATGTCTAACTCTTCCAGTAAATGGTAGCAATAGACTCAGTCATGCAGTAGACTTAAGTTTGGGGTTTCCAGGGGCCAACTCCTCCTGTCAGAGTATTTTGGTAATTGCCGCCCGTCATATCATGTTCGGGTCTGGGTCTATGAATAAGCACCGTTTCTAGAGTTTCGCACTTCTCGTTGCACGGTGTCATCCGTCAGATCTTGCACCCAATCACCCCTTCGACAGTTGACTGTGTTGGCCACCCACGATGTTCTTGTCAGGCTTCGGATGTTGAGCTTGCCACCCATCATCTCTTTCTGAAGTGCAAAATGCTTTTGACCCAGTCTTAGTCTTAGTCCAAGCTTCCACTAGCTTCTGCCAAAGGCTCCGGGTACCAGATATGCCACTTATCATCTCTCATCAGAATTTGGGATGCTTGGAATTCTGGTACCAACTGTCGAGCTTAGGGTTTGAAACCCATCTGCACTCTTTTGAGGCTATCGGAAAGTATTCGCACGGTTTGGTGCTTGGGGGATCATCAACCCCATCACCGATTTTGGAATTCGGATCCAGCATCTCCTATCACGGTCTCAACTTCTTGTGATCAGGCTGCCTGTTTGCCACTGGCAGGTTCGAGTTTTGCAAGCCGTTCCCTCGTATTCGGGCTAGGGGGCTCGCCACCCATCATATTTCTTGCATTGCTTGCAGGTCGGGGTCCCAGAATACCCATTATTGTCAGCAGCCTGACCTCTGATTGAGCTTTGCTACCCACTATATCTCTTCAACTAGTCAGTCCGCCACACTTCACTTGCTGTTGCACTCAGTCAGCTTGCTTGGGGCTTACAGTGTCTACCATCCACCATGTTCTTGTCAGATTTCGGATTGCCACCCGTCATCTCCTTTGTGAAGTTGAAATGCTTATGACATATACAAAGGCTTGTAGGGTTTGTCATCAACTAGTTGTTGCTAAGGGCTTGGGCACCAGATATGCCATCCATCACTTCTCATCAGAATTTGGGATGCTTTGGACTCGGCTAAACATCTCGGGTTTCGGAATTGAAGCCTATTGGGGGTTAGGGCGTGGCACCCGACATGCCCAACTTGCGGTTGTCGACGCCCCTTCACATTGTTTGATGGACTTGGAGTTCGGGAGCCTGTCATCTCCATGAGATGTTGTACAATCAAGGTCTAACATACTGTATTAGGTTTTGGGGCTCGTTGGAACCAGTCTTCCGAACCACCTACTGCATTCTGGTTGTATTTATTGGCTCGATTTTCCGATGTTTGGCAGATTTGGAACCCATCATCCCTAGCCACTTGGATGAAGGTTGACTAACTACCTGCTGATCTTAATCATGACATGTGAATGCATTGGCTGTGGGGTGACAGATTTATCCTTCATAAGATATGGGGGATGCCACCCATCATTCCCTTTCCAAGGTTCGGATCATAGGTCCTCAGCCACTACATAGTTCTTCACTACGATTTAGCCTGAGAGTTCGAAAGTTCTTTGGCCTGTATCCCATTTGGGTGTTGTAGATTCTGGTTGTTCCTTCAAAACGCGAAAACGAATTTATGGCTTGAAATGCAGCAGCCGTGCAAGAGGTGACATGCCTATCAACAACTTTACACTCCAAGTCTCTAATAACTTCGTATGTGGCTATTCATCTGTGTGGTGATTAACTTGCAAATTATATGCCATAGTATACCGTACTGTATTATGTTATATGAGAATAACTGATATTGTCTGATTTTATATGATAGCATCATGAGATGACTATATTAAGATATGTTATACAAGATATTTTATGATACTATGCTGTATTATACTGTGTTATATTCGGTTATCTTCTACTATTCTCTTATCTTCTGTTCTGTTCTGTTCTGTTCTGTTCTGTTCTGTTCTGTTCTGTTCTGTTCTGTTGTGTTCTG